CCTTATCTTTCATAGTGTGTATTTATCCCCCACCAGTTTCATAAATACTTTTCACAACAATCTCTAAAACACTTTTATTTAATAACAAAGACAGGAGTGGTTGTACAGAATATTGGCTTTATTATGAAACCTGTGGCATTTTTCAGGCAAACATTCTTCATTTGTACAGATCCATTAATCAGATTTTATTGAAGTAACAAAAGAAACGTGTCCAGCCTGAGCTCACGCAGTATGTTTTTACTAATACAAAACTGGAGCATATCCAATAACATACAACAGAGTCTCCTCTATCCCAGTGTGCTCGGTGTAAAATGTATCAAACACAAGATACAAATAAATGCAATCGAAACTGTTGCATGTTACTACATAGACTCCAGAAGAATATTCAAAATTGTATACAATCATATAATTTAAAATCCCGGACCCTAGCACACTCCAATAAAAGCAACAAAAGCACACGGCAGTCAATAACGGCTCAAACCCCCAGCCCACCCAGCCAGCCTTAATCAACATGTAACAAGTGTTTCAGTATTTTTCTACATTTCAAATTGTAGCTCAAGAAGTTAAATTTAAATTCACCCTGCATCTCTCTTTTTAGTTTATGCCAAATTGATGTTATATTTGAAGAAACAACTATCCTCTGCCATTTCAGGCCCAAATCTTGCCTGCAGCCTCTGACCCCGAACTACAAAGGTAAGTTAATTATCTGCAAATCACATCCACTAAAGCTTCCTGTGGCCCAGGTCATCATGAACCCACAGAGCAAAATGCTGTGTACAGAAATATAAATTCAGGTTCTTTGAACACGTTTATTACAAGTGCAACTTTTTTTAGATCATAAATACAATGAATAGGACATTATTCAGCCTGGTTTAGACTCTGGCCAGCTGCATTTCAGACACTGATACTGGTTTCATGTTTGTTAATTTTTAGACACCTGCCAACCTTCAAATTTGAATCCAAATTAGGGTTATCCTGTGGCAAATCACTCACATACCACTTTGCAAATTTGTAAGCCTTTTTTCCAAAATTGACTGCAAAACCATTAGCCACAAATTACATCATACCGCCTAAACTTTACTAGCATCTGATTGGTATTAAAGTGTATTTTTAAACAAAAAATTGACAAAAAACTCTGACAAACCTAAAAAAAAAAACCTAAAAACTTTTGGGCCATTCATTCCAAACATACAAGTATTACTTACAGATGGAAATAAATGTGGTAACAGGACAAGGAAAATATCTAGGATCCAATTATATGTAGTCTTGATTTAAACTGCCAGTCTCATTTCCAGAGTGTAAATAATTGTCTTCGTAAAATAGTGAAGGACATGGAGGGATCACTTTATTACACTACACCACTCGGCGTACTTCGAAAAATCTCTTCAGGTAGTAAATCTGTCCAAGTGTCATCGCTACCAGGACCAGAGCCTCGAAAAATGACCAAAGCACAACTCTGCTGTTTGTGTTGTCATTGACTGGGGAGAGAAGAACAGAACATCTATGAGGTCAGGTACTGGAGCCTTTTGATGCATGATCTTTATGAAACAGGACTCACTTGCTCTGTGTATCCTCTCGCGGACTTCCATGTACTCCTGCTCATGCTTTACAGCAGTCATTGCAACTGCCAGCTCATTGATCATCTCCTCCAGTTTGTTTTGGTGGGCTGAAACAGGGCAGAATGTCAGTAACGTGCCCCACGACTTTTGAGCAAAGGAAACATGCAGTACGCAACACATGCTTAGCACATGGGACTCGTGTCACAGGTGACACTTTCCCACCAGCAACACTGATAGTTCACACATTTTTCTAACAGTGCAAACATCCAACCAATAAAGGACATAAAATGTTTTGATGAAACATACTGAGAAGGCACAATATTAGTTTTATCTATGGGAGCAACACTTGTTAGATAAAACTCAAACAAGAGGCTGCCTTGTGCCCTACCATCCCAGCTGTCACCACCTACAGAAGGGGAAAGTGCCCAAAATGTGGTCATACAGAAGAAATAAAGAATCATTATACTTTAATTAAAAGGAACAAAATAAAAACAGCTCCTAAAATCTACATGAACCCTCCGGAACAGTGCATTATTGTGTATTCTTTGGTATTATTACACACTGAACTAATAAATCCATAGAGGCTTTTGTTTACCTTCTGTCTCCATGTCCTGGCCTTTAGGTGCCTCTCCAATATCGATAGTGAACATGACAATCTTGGGTGTCATGGTTGACATCTTGTTACTGAAGCAGAATTTATAGGTCCCATCCATATGAGCTGCCACTGAATACTTACCACTGGACTCTCTGTCCCCTTTATAAATCTGCTTGCCATCAGGCCCTGTTATCTGTGATATTAAATGGAAAAATAACTCTACGTTAGGGCAAATCAGAGACTGGGCTGACGACAACATATGGTATCTCCAGCAGAGAAAAATAACTTTGCTTTTGGTTAAAAGAAACCGATAAATGACTGCATGTTATAAGAGCAATTCATATGTTTGCATCTTAGTTATCTATTTCACACACTTGAGATGAGAAATTGGATAAACCAACAAAGCAAGACACCTGCTAGGATAGCACTTCCTGTACTTCCATGTACTACAAAGATATATACCTTGTGCAATAACGTACACGGGGAAAAATCAATTAAATAACAAAAACATTGTTCGACCCGAATTTTTTGGTCGTTCGTATTCGAAACTCGGCAGCAGTCGCAACCGATCTATTGCAGTTTACTTATGCTAGCAGGAGGCTAGCAGCTAATGTTAGCACAGGCCTAAAAGTCTGACATATCACCTTAGGTTAAACATCATTTACCATTTTACTTAAGCTCTTTACTAGAAACAATGCTACTCGTACGGCTCACCTCTACATCAATATCCAGGAAGCCGCCTTCAGCTACTTCAAACATAAGGCCCATCTTGGTGCCGGAGTTCACTTGCTCGTAGAAGCATTCCTCAGCATGGGCGTCTATGCTAACGAAGTAACCGGACGCAGTAGCAGACAGGACGGCAAGCAAGACAACGAGCTCCGACACGGTAAACATGGTGCAAATTGTATAAGGTGAACGTCACTGTGATTTCGACTGATCTAAAGTAACGTCGCTTCAGTAAATCCTGCGTGAGTGTAGGAGTCGGGTTTTACGTGCGAACTGTTGTATCAGAGAACAGCCGCTACAGCCACTGCTGCGCCGCTCTGTGACTGCCACGTACGGGCTTAAACCGCAGCCGCGGAAGGACAAACTTCATAGAGCAAACATCTGCGAGCTATGTGTATGAGTAGGATGCAGTATTCTATTCACGCCCACCAAGACGTTTACAAATAATACCAAAACAATTAATTGTTATTTTACACGTAACGTAAGTAATATCCCTTTTCCTTGTATTTTGATATGTCTGGATATATGTTTAGTTATTATTTCATATTTCTTCTGAAACATGCCTTGCCATGTAAGAGGATTTCTTAAAATATAGAAGCCTTGTTACAATTTAGTGTATTATGCATTTAGAGTATAAAATTTAATTTGAGGTTTCGTGTGGAGGAGGTTCCAAACCCTTTATGGGCCAAAAAATTCCTTTATGGGCCAAAGCGCCACTAGTTATTTTTATTTTTTATTTTTTTATCTAGCTATAAAAGTTCTATTAACAACACATCTGACCAAAGTTCTCCATACCAAAAGAATGTTACTAAAGTTTGTTGTTTTTGAGCTGATAGCACAATTAGACCTTGTAGGTATACCTCAAATTTTTACACTCAAAAAGACAAAAAGAAGCACACCGAATGTTGAATTCAATATTATATTTGTATTTCCAATTCATATTTGTTGAAATTATTATGTTTGCAATATTACAAACGATTTTCGAAAAACATTTGTACTTCACTTTATTTATATGTGCCTCGCACACGTACAGTAAGATGACAGTTATGTGCCCAGCTTTGAGGTGCAGCATCCGCTAAGTCTTCATTTTTGATGTGGCATTCTGGGGACCCGCAGGTTTCAGTGAAGCTGTGCCGCTTTCGCCGCTCTAACCACAAGAAACAAGGTTTTAATGAGCATGCGCAAGGTGAAAGTGGTTGTACTCTTTAATATTTGTCACGCTGCTCGCCGGAGCCGGCGGACCTCTGCGGTTTTAACCGATGTGCATGGATCGGCAGCAAAGAACGGCTGCGACGGGTGTAGAAATCCGCGCACCCTCTGTTTTGTCGCACGATTGGTGACGTCCAATAACCGACTCCCTGCGAAGTCAACAGGGCTAAGGCCTGAATACTTTTTTTTACTTTTTGTTTGTTAGCGACCGCTTGCGAAAATCGTGTGGGTGACCGGAGTTCGAAGCCCGTTTTGATCGGGTGTAAACAGATGAAGCACCCCGCCCCATAACCGAAGCAGACGCTGTCGGAAACGTTAGCCAGCCAGTTAAAGCTACCGCTAACTGCCAGCGAGGAAGTAAGGATAGAGAAAAAATGACATCTCGGAGGTAAGTGTGGAAAACAACTTCTAGTGCAAAGCTAGCTCCGTTAACACGGTCTCGGTTCTGATGGCTGGGTGTCGTTATGTCTGTGAACCGTGTCTGAGTGTGCTGACTTTCTATTAAGTAAAGTGACGAAGCCAGAGTAGCAGCTAGCCTCATTTAGCTCACACCGGCAACTTGGAGCCTTCCCTGAAAATGTTTGGTAATCAGCGTTAACGTATTTGCCTTGACCTCAAAAACTACATTTTTTTTGTTCGTATTTTAAGGGGTCAAATAAATGGAGTCCGATTTCAGTTTCAACCAACAAGCAAACATCCCAAAGCCGATTTTTCTTGTTTGATGAAGTTTTTCCCAAACCCTAGGGAAAAAAGTATACAGCTCCGAAGAAATCTGTTTAATTTGCACAACCGCCAAACACAGATTGGTGTGAACACGGTCACTTAAAACAACTACACTTCAGTTGGGTACTAAATACCCAATGTTGGTTTCTGGAACTATATCCGACAGATGACTCTATCTTCCATGGCAAATAAAGAAAATATAAAAAGGAATTCTGAACTTGCAGTGGTCTTATAGACTGAACGTTGTCATCGTGCATATTTCTGTTTTTTAGAAACGACATGTGCCCAATCTCGTTTTGAGTTTTATTAGAGGTGATGTTTTTTTATTCAAATGGTAGCAATGCAACTGAATGTTGCACTACCTACTGAGCTACAGCCAACCTGGCTAAGCTCACTGGTGCTCTGGGATCTTCGAAGTTATAGTAACCCTAAACTGTAAGACATGTGTAATTACTAAGGACATACTCTGTGACACATGCCAACTCAGAACAAAGTGCATATCTACCAGTTTTTGCCATCATCCAATCATCAGTGTTGCAGCGCCCTCCCACCACCGGCTTAGGTACTGGGTTGTTTAGGTAATCAAGGTATTAGGTCTCAATCATTCTATATTTATATACATGACAATATAAGTGAAATCAGTATATTTTTCAAGAAAGGAAGACATTAATTTGTGTGTGTTGCAGGTAAACACAGATACATGGCAGTATAGACACAAGTATTAATATCAACCAGATTTCTCACTTGTTTAGCTTTAATTAATTCATATGATGATAATGATCCGGGTCACCTTTATCTTGCAGTGTGGCTTATAGTTACTTTTCTTCCCTCAGGTGGTTTCACCCCAACATCACAGGTGTGGAGGCTGAAAACCTCTTACTCACGCGTGGAGTAGACGGAAGCTTTTTGGCCCGGCCCAGTAAAAGTAACCCTGGAGACTTCACCCTCTCAGTACGGTAAGTGAAGAAAAGTGTACAATGCAGCAATGGTTGAGCACCATAGGATCACCCACTTAAATTATTTAAAAGTCTGCAAAAATGTTCTTGTTCTCTCTGATGATTTTTTTTTTTAAATCTAGCAAATAAATGGATAATATATCAATTATGTTGCAAATTACAGGGATCATGTCCATTTTTAAGAAGAAAAACAATTAATACTTTCGTTAATGTTTAACTGATGGTTTGAGTGTGCACCAAGCAGTATTTTTTGTTACATAGTTGTTGTTTTTTTGTTATTGTATTTACAGCCACATTCTTGCCATTTTAGTTGAAGATAGATTGTCTTTTGTCTGATGACATTAATGATGTGTTCGCCTTTTGGTGGCAACTGTTCTCTGTTGCCATTGTCACTGCAGACGAAATGGAGCTGTCACCCATATTAAGATCCAAAACACAGGAGACTACTATGACCTCTATGGTGGGGAAAAGTTTGCCACCCTGGCAGAGCTGGTGCAGTATTACATGGAACATCATGGACAGCTGAAGGAAAAAAATGGAGACGTTATTGAGCTTAAGTATCCACTCAACTGTGCTGATCCCACCTCAGAGAGGTGAGTTGTATTTAAGGCTGTAACATTGTCAGACATTGTAGCCTTTCTCTCCATGTTTCCTTGTTTAAACTGGAAATTTCCATGAGTGGAAAGAGGAACTTTACTGTGCAGTGGTTACAGCATGAACCAGACTCTCATCATATTACATTTATTTTCATTCCTTGTCGTCTCTCTTAGTATCATCTTGTGTGTTTTGATTACCTGTATTTTGTTTTTTACAAATAGTAGTAGTAGATTAATAGATGAAAATTTCTAGATAAAAAAACTCTAGATTAAGTCGCTGTTTGTATAAGTTTTTTATTTTTTTTTTTTTTTTTGAGACTTTCAAAGAAGTTGGGTTAAATTAAAGTGTTATTCCCTGTGAGTCCAGTTCAAACATTCCTGTTATCTGTCCTCAGATGGTTCCATGGACACTTGTCAGGCAGGGAGGCTGAGAAACTGCTGACAGAGAAAGGAAAGAATGGCAGCTTCCTGGTGAGGGAGAGCCAGAGTCACCCGGGAGACTTTGTTCTGTCTGTTCGAACGGGAGACGATAAGACTGACAGCAGTGACAGCAAACCCAAAGTTACTCATGTCATGATTCGCTGCCAGGTAAAAGTCTCCTCCTGTCTGTCCCTGTCTTCGTCCTCTTTGGTTTCCCATCGTTTCAACAGTAACGTGGCCACCAGGCTAATTTGGGACAGCACGTGATGTCATGACTGATAGAAAAGTTTCTCTGCACTTTTAAAACAAGCGCTCAGTTGCACATTATAAAAAGGCTACTTGGCAAAGAGGAAGTCATGTCAACATTAGCAGTAACTGTTTCTTCTCAGACTTCTTCTCTGCCCGTTTATTCAGTCTATTTAAAGAAAGCACAGACTTCTGTAGAAGTACAACGCTCTGATGACGGTTTAATTCCCAGAAAAGCCCATTTGAGCATGACTTTCAGTTTACCTCAGTCCACCAACAGACTAACTGTTGTTGTGAAAGAATGTTTGAAAATACCAGACCAGACCATGACTCCTGTGGGTGACCGTTTTTTGTTGTTGTTGTGCAGTTGAATGTGATGCATTTCTTTTTATGTCTGTGGCTTCTTACTAGCATGACCTGAAGTATGACGTGGGTGGAGGTGAGAAGTTCGACTCCCTCACTGACTTAGTAGAGCACTACAAAAAGAACCCTATGGTAGAGACTCTTGGTACCGTGCTTCAGCTTAAACAGGTACACTTCAGCCCCTAGTCTTTTCAATATCAGTTTTATTGATTTTTTTTTTTTTTTTTGAGACTTGTCAGCCTTTCTGACTTACTCATGTTCTCCCCTCCAGCCCCTAAACACTACTCGCATCAATGCAGCAGAGATTGAAAGTCGGGTTAGGGAGCTGAGCAAACTGGCCGAGGCCACAGATAAGGTCAAACAGGGCTTCTGGGAGGAGTTTGAGGTGAGTGTTTTTGACCTTTTCTATTAAAAAAAAGTTTGACTTTTCAGGTTTTCTTTTTTATGAATGACTTAAGAGGGTCTTTTTTTCCCTTAATTTCCCAAAGGGAACTCCCAAGGAATTAATATCTCTCTCTCTCTCTCTCTCTGTCTCTCTCCCTCTCTCTCTCTCTCTCTCTAACCACCACTGTCTCTCTATCTAAATAGTTTTCACATGAAATAAATGCACGTACATAAACCAATAAATGACAAACACACTCACACATTCACTTCCTGATTATGATCTTATGACATTGTGCAGTGGAGTGCCTTGCAACAAGGCGTAGCACGTTTGTCAACCACAATTTGACCATAGCGACAACATAAGGGTGTGGGTGTTTTCTAGATTACTGGTGTGTGGTTGATATTTCTCACATGTGTCAGATAATTTTTGTTGTGTGAAGTTAAAACTCTACAGGGGAGACGACAACAGATCGGCTTCACGATAAAGACCATGATCGATTGTTAACATGTAAAATAAAGTCCACATGGTGAAACTCAAACTCTTTTCACTTTTCTTTCATTTTGTGCAGACTTTGCAGCAACAAGAGTGCAAGCTGCTGTACAGTCGCAAAGAGGGCCAGAGAGTGGAGAACAAGAACAAGAACAGATACAAGAACATCCTGCCCTGTGAGCCACATTTGCTTCTTTTCATACGGCAGCACAGACGAGCAGCGTGCTGTGACGTGGTTTTATCTGACTGTTGTTCTGTGTGTTCACAGTCGACCACTCGCGTGTGGTGCTGAATGATGGAGACATTAATGAGCCAGGCTCTGACTACATCAATGCCAATATCATCATGGTAGTATCTGCTGTCATGGTACACACACTCCTCAGAGCACTCTCTCTCTCACACCAACATCAACACTTACATTGTCTGTTCTACTGTTTTGACTGTTTCTGCCCGTGTGTGTGTGCGTGCGCAGCCGGAGCTGGAGTCAAAGTGTAACAGCACCAAGGTGAAGAAGAACTACATCGCTACTCAGGGCTGTCTGCAGAACACCATCAGTGACTTCTGGAGGATGGTGTTTCAGGAGAACTCCAGGGTCATCGTCATGACCACTAAGGAGGTGGAGAGGGGAAAGGTGAGCAAAGATGAAGTGCGGATCGCTTCTTACTGACAGCTGGTGATTATCTGTCGAGATCTGTTTGAAACCTTCTGTTTGAAAGCTTCAGTTGGCCCTTTTAAACCCCTTCGCTAATGTCTAAGAGTGTAACGTGAGGAGTAAAGGCTGTCTGCTGTATTTAACTGCCACTTACTCTCCTTTAATTACCTTTTTTTATTACACATTTTCAACAGGTAATCTATCAGATTCAATATCATCTCCCATCCCATTATATTTTCAATGCACAGCCTTACATCAAGCTTCTGAGTCAAGTCCTGTTCTTATTAATAGACAGTTCATCTGTTTCGTTAAATCAAACACCATTTTGCTGGTAATGTCCAGGTGACAGTTCTATTATTGTAATAAGAAAATCCAAGATGGCTGACGGTGTATGTATGTAGTTGATGTGACAATGTTATCGCTGTGTGTTACAGAGTAAATGTGTGAAGTACTGGCCCGATGTGTTAGCTCTGAAGGAGTACGGTGCCATGCGTGTTCGCAGTGTCCGAGAGACGGCTGCTCACGACTACATCTTACGAGAGCTGAAACTGTCCAAGGTCGGCCAGGTGGGTTTGTCTGGATACACACGGCTGGATAAAAGTGTCCACTGGATCGCCACGAGAGATTAGACCTGGCTGTGGTTTTAGACCAGGGCAGTCAGCTCCTTCTTCTTTAAAGGCTCAGTTTTTAGTTTTTTCTTTAAAAGCTAAAGCAGAGCATTATGATAATCAATACAGTTAAATTGATTCTTACTGATACAGTATCATTCAATGTAACTAGCTCTGATTCAGTCACTCAGGGCTGGAAACTCTAACCCTCCTCCTGTGTCTGTTTATTTTAGGGGAACACAGAACGCACAGTGTGGCAGTATCACTTCAGGGCCTGGCCGGACCACGGCGTGCCCACTGACCCCGGAGGTGTACTCGACTTCCTGGAGGAAGTCAACCTGAAGCAGGAGAGCATACTGGACGCCGGGCCAATAGCAGTGCACTGCAGGTGAACAACACGGGGACACCGTAGACACCACTTAATGGAAATAAATGAGGAATAAAAGAAAATCCTAAAAGTCCTCTCTCTCTCTCTCTCTCTCTCTCTCTCTCGTTGTGCAGTGCAGGGATTGGGCGAACAGGAACATTCATAGTGATTGACATGCTGATAGATGTGATCAGGGAAAAAGGTGAGTTTTCTCACATTATTGTTGTTTTCTCTGTCTGTAGTCATAGCCCTTAACCTCCTATATTCAGTAGTAGGCAGTGGGTGGAGGTCTTCAGGGTTTTGACCGGTGCTCTTCACATCCGCAGGAGTGGACTGTGACATCGACGTGCCAAAGACCATTCAGATGGTCCGATCCCAGCGCTCTGGGATGGTGCAGACTGAAGCGCAGTACAGGTTCATCTACATGGCCGTACAGCATTACATAGAAACACTGCAGAGACGCATCGAAGAAGAACAGGTCGGCCGCGGAACACGCGTCTCTTTTCACGTGGTCAGCTCTTTGATCTGCTCCCGACTCTAACCGTTCTTTCATTCATACAGAAAAGTAAGATAAAAGGCCGTGAATACACCAACATTAAGTATTCAATGTCAGACCTGACTGGAGGGGAGCAAAGCCCTTTGCCTCCTTGCACTCCCATCCCTACTCCCACCTGCACAGAGTAAGTAAACTGTTTGGAAAACACCTGCTAAAACTGCTGTGTAGCTCGTCACAGTAAATTTATTAAATACTGCTTTAGGTTAAGTTTGTTTTTATGTCCTTATAAATAAAGGCCTGTGTTTGGATTAGTCATCTGAACAACATACGCTCAAGCAAATAAACAAAGGAAGCAGCTGCGAGTGCAGAGCAGACAATAAACTATGCAGCTCTTAATGGCACTGGCTCATTTAGAGGGAAAAATGCACAATAAAATACTGTTCATACGTTCACTAAGAAAAACACGCAATTTATTCACTGCATTTTTCCGTCTGTTAAACAAGATTTAGTGACAACACTGTTGACGTTTGGTACAATCTTCATGTCACAAACTTACAGTAGCTGCATGCAGCCAAGGTTGTGACGCAACCAACTTTATGATGCAACTAAAGAACACTGTCTGTCGTGTGTCATCAGGATGAGGGAGGAGAGCTCCAGAGTGTATGAAAATGTCGGACTGATGCAACAGCAGAAGAGCTACAGATGAGATTCATCCATGACATCTGTGATTCGATCTTTCCAGGTAAAGTGAATATTTAAATTTAAAAATTCAGATAGATGAGACTTGATTTTTTTTTTCCTATCTTTAAATCAGTGATACGGCTCAAAATATCACAACGTAAACTTATCAGGATCTTATTGTTTTTAAACAATCAGTGTGAACCAATAAAATGGGAATTATTATCAAAACCATCTGAAAATCAAAGCCAGTCTTGGTGTTCGCAATTTATCTGGAATTTTTCTGTCCACTCACATCAACTGCACAAAGAAGAATTCATCTTTGCTTATGAGGTTATATTTTGATTAAGAATGACTTCATCAGACAAGTATTGGACCATCTGAGTGAAGGGTACTCTGTGTACTTCAAGCAGTCCTGCAGCAGCAGCTGTAGTAAAATGAGGCAGATGTTTGTGGAGGTGCTGCACCGTAATCTGAAAATACTTTGGGTTCCTCTTGTGTCTCCTTCAGGATCTCGATACCTGACCGTTCATTTGCCAGCCACACCTTGACGCCTGAGACTTGACCGTAATGACATGGAACAACGGACACACTCACACACTCGTACACAAGAAAGAGAGAGAGACCAGACTCCAGGCTTCTCCTGTTCTCCCTCATCTTCCACAAACCGTCGCCCTCTAGATTGAATTTTAAACCACTGTGATGATCAGAGGAGCCTCCTAGAAGCCTAACACACTAAACCCTTGACTAAACTGTGTCTAGCCTTTGTCAGTGTCACTTCAACAAGGGCTGCACACAGTGAGCACTCTCCTCAGACGGGGGAAAAAGTAACGTAGTTAACCTTTGCTCATCACTTGTTATTATTTAGATTTGTTTAATTAACCAAAGGAAAGTTTAGAATGTTTTGTGTCAAAGAATGTGAGAAGGAAATTCAGGCCGACGTCCAAACCACAAGAGAATTTTCTTTTCAGCCAATTTAAATTCCTTTATACCAGATAAGCCTTTAAACAACTGGGAGATTAGAAGAAACTGCACAGTTTCTGAAGTCATCGGTTTAGACTCCTGGCCTCTGAATGAAGAAGTATTGGCCTGTTGAGGTGAATAACATTTCCAGTCGATCCGTTTTTGTTATCCCCAGACTTAAAAAAACAAAATCAGATTCCGGCTGGTCAAAATCAGTGTAAATGGTCTTTCTTTTTTTTCCCTTCTTTTATTCATGTCATGTTTAATTTGCTTTTTGCTTGGATACACAGTGTCTGTTAACCATTCCTGAAGTCCTTAACGCTGCCATTTTTTGCAGCATATGGCTAACAGTCCAGCCTGGTTTCACCTGCTGGACTAACGCCTGCGTCATGCGGTGATCTCACAGGAGTTCAATGGCAGAGTCGACGCCATGTCTCTGTCACAGTGACATTTCCGTCTATTTCAGGCATCACCATCGAAGTTTGACTGCCAAAATAACTTATGTTTTTTTTTTTTAAAAAAACTTGTTTTAAGTGCATATTACTTTTTTTTTTCTTTCTTGTTCCTTTTATCGCCTTTTCTGTACTTCTGCCTGTTTTGAGCACCACATGTACTTAGGTTTAAGGTTCACTGCTTAACCTGTTCTGCACTTGGTAAGTGTCTGTACTGGCTGACAGTACAGACACTTACTTTTGCTGTAAAGGCTTATTGGTCTTTGATCATCAGCTGAAATCAGTAGTCTCTCTCACACACACACACACACACACACGCACGTACGACATTTTTGAGCAGGAGCGCGTTTTGTTCCTGCCTC